ACCCACATGATGCCTTGACCATGTGCTACATTCTGTTGCAATGGAAGGTGCATGGATAAATAAATAGCTTTAAATATCTGATGAGTTTGAATTCCAGTCGAATCCATTACATTCATTTACATGCTAATAACCCTTGGGAAAGGTATGAATCTTCTTTTTCTCCTACCCATCTAGGGGTAAATAGCAGGACAGACCAGGTTCTATAGCCTTGGATGGCAACTGGTTTACTGCAGAAAGAAATGGTAACCTACTGCAGAGAAAAAATCTGCCTTGTCAGTCATGTATCGAAAGATACTTGATCGCCTAAGCATGTATCATGCATGGCACATAGCTGGCTGATCTGATGAGAATGAACTGGCAAAATTGTATACAGTACATCATATCTATAAAAATTAACCCAGAAATGAATAATTTTATTTATATTATTTACACTCAGACAATATTTTTGTTCTAAATTAATTATAACTAGCAGTAGAGCCCGGCGATGTAACAGTAAGAGATAGATCAAGTATCGACCATCATAAAGACTGAAAAATAAAATTGACAAAGATTATTGTTTAAGGTTGACGGACACGCATGTCTTAGTTTGTTTTTTTTTTTTTACGAATTGGTCAAACCCAAACTCAAGCAAAAACATTGTTTTCAATCATTATGAGTCTACCGATTGAATAGAATTTTTCAATTTTATTATAAACAATTGTCTTGTAAATGGAATTTTTAAAGCATTCTGAATGTAAAAATAAAGAAAAAAGTGTGCAAAACAACACATATATAAATGAACACACACATACAAAAACAACCTGGGTTTTATAAAAAGTATAACTCGATATGAGTTGTCCCCCTTTCATTCTTGCGATGCCTCTTAATCGTGTTTTCAAATTGATTTTGTGCAAAAACAATCATGTTTTTCCAATTTTTGGCGCTGTCAGAACCACCGCAAGGTAATTTTATGTAGTCCTGTGAAGTTTTGTTGAAATCGGTTGAAAAATGTAGGAAATCTGATCCAATATATAAACGAACAGACACACATACACACACACAACCTGGGTTTTATAATAAGTATGATTAAAAAAAATACTGACTGGTTTTATTTACATGGTGCTAAACATAAAGAAATTTCAGCTTGTAGTTTAAGTACGGAAATATAAAAATGATGAATGGAAAGCTGGAGGTTCAATGTATAAAACTTAAAGTTGGGATGCTGAAGCTAACATCAATCAGCTAAGTGATAAATTTTATATTTCTTATTACTATAAACATTATATGGCAAACTTTAATCTTTGTGCCCACAAAAAAAATAGTGTGTTAAAAGGACACCGTTATTATTTTGTACTTTCTTCATTCCCTTGGCAATGTTTATTTACAAGATTATAGAAATATGTGAACCAATTACAAAGTAATATTTATTGACATTTTATAAAGATTTATTATTTATCATTTTATGAGGAAACATGAAATATTTTTATTTAAAAAAAATTATAAAATTATCAAAATATTTAAACCATCTACAATGCAATATTTATGATTTTACTAGCAGCTTGGCCCGGCGTTGCCCGTGCTTGATTCAAAAATCGTACGACTCATACAGCAATCACTATCACTTGACTTAAAATATTTTTGCTCTTCCTTTGCCGTGCTGATGTTGCTACATGCCTTACTTCTTGCCTATCTCATACTGCGAATTTTTTCTAAGCTCTATACTATACATTAAATCTATTACAAAAAAAGAACTAAACAAAATGAACACAAAACAATCAGCTTTAAAAAAGGACTCGTAACTGGAAAAACCGAATGAAAAAAGAATGTTAACAACAAATACTTTTTCACACCCAACCCAATTCTGCGGAATCAGAATCAACGTTGAGTTTAAGCAAGTGAATGAGCCAATTGGAGTAAAGTGCCATACAGATTTAAATTTTTCCCACTTGCGATGAATGCAGCTATTGATTTTTTTGCATGCTAGTTAACATTCATGTCAATCAGCTGTTGGCTCTCATGCTGACCTATTCGTGGCAGCCAGCTATAGGCTCTCACTCTGGCCAGTACAAAATGGCTGCAAACTACATGAAAACTGCCGTAGAAGCATGAAAAAAATCGATTATTTCCACTATCGATGGAGTTGGGAAATGCAAAGTCGATCTTGGCCTTTCCACTAACTTGGAGCATGTGCATGTAAATTTTGGTGCAAATCTGTCGAAAATTGTGGCCGTGCATTTGTTACACACACACATCCTGCCTTTTATAGTTAGAGATAAATAACGATGTAAACAAATTTTTTATTCATAATTTTATTTAAAAAAATCAATTATAAAACAAATATTTACACCCTTGTGCAAATTAATTGAAACAAAACGAATAATTCTGTTATTATTTAATTTTTTTTGTATTTTTCCAATGAGCCAGGACACTTGTTAGTACTTCGTACGTCCATTCCATGAAGTTTTTTCTTGTAGATTCACCACAGATTCTCAATTCGATTTAGATCAGGAGAGTTTCCGGGCCAGTTTATAGTACTTTGATTTGCTCACTGGTAAGGCTTGCCATTGTGCTTTTGCAGTGTTACAATTTTTGTACGCTTCCTTGGAGTAACGTCCATCGTAGACAATGGCTGTAGGGCAACTAATCAACAATTGAGACAAGTGTTTGCAAAATCTGATGCAATCATGGATGACACAATATTTTTCAAGGCCAAAGAAATTTCATCATACACCTTGAAAATAGATTCATATTACTGCACACTACTGCAATCTGAAAAAAAATCTGAGGAAAAAAATAGAAATCAATTACACCCTGTTACTCCAGTGGGTCTAAAATTGACTGTATGATGAAAGAAAGAAAACTAAAGCAGTTGTTTCAATTAATTTGCACAAGGGTGTATTTCTTTATAAATTTGTTTGTTTAATGGCATATCAACACATTATTGGTCATTTAATGTTGAAATTTAATTTTCTTGGGAGCTTTGAAGTTGTAAAAATATCATATAGCGTATATACTCATGTATCATGTGACTTTTGAAGATTTAATTTTGAAGCTAATTTTAAGGGGGTCACATTATACACCAGATATAAAATTAGTGTATGTACTGCTGGCCATGGATACACCGTTGACTAAACTACCAATCATGCAACACCCTTAAAATTAGCTTAAAATTTAGGTCTTCAAAAGGCACTTTATGCATGAGTGTGTTATTATGCTTTCACAATTGAATACATGGTAGATGATGCTCGGCTTTTGTGGATGTACATGTTTGTGTAGACATAATGACTACAGGTGGTGATACATGTGTTTTATGTTTTAGTTTTGTTGAAGTTATATTTTAGAATAGTTTGATATCTTTAAGAAATTGTAGACTATTATATGGATTAATGTCATGAAACAGTTCTTTCATTTTGGTTGTTTGATTGTGTTTAGAGACATAACAACACCCCTAGGGGTTATTTAATACTGAAATCTAAATATTTTGAAGACAATTTTATGGCTTCAACTACAGATAAAATGTATTATTGGTCATTTTGCTATAAATATGAATCGTTGGTAATTTTTTTAGATAAAAATATATTGCTGGTATTTTTACAATAAAAATGTATTTTTATATTTTCATAGAGTTATTTGCCCATAGCTGGGACCTTAACAGGTGCTACCACCCCAGGTCAGGGTGGACCTGGGAATAACAACGAATAAAAGGTGGTTCCATGCTCCTTAAAACCTCCAATCTCCCGATCAGAGGCCTTACTGACGGATTTAGTTTATCATTAAACTCAGTGTTCAGGATTTCTTTCTTTGCTTATAATTTAAAAACTTTATGCATGAGTATGTTATTATGCTTTCACAATTGAATACATGGTAGATGATGCTCGGCTTTTGTGGATGTACATGTTTTTGTAGACATAATTACTATAAGCGGTGATACACGTGTTTTATGTTTTAGTATTGTTGAAGTTATATTTTAGAATAGTTTGATATCTTTGTAAAATTGTAGGATATTATATGGATTAATGTCATGAAAGAGTTCTTTCCTGTTGGTTGTTTGATTTTGTTTAGAGGTATAACAACACCTCTAGGGGTTATTTAATGCTAAAATCTAAATATTTTGAAGACAATTTTATGGCTTCAACTAGATAAAATGGTCATTTTGCTATAAATATGAATCGTTGGTAATTTTTTTATATAAAATGTATTGTTGGTATTTTTACAATAAAAATGTATTTTTATATTTTCACAGTGTTTGGGGTTATTTGCCCATAGCTGGGACCCTAACAGGTGCTACCACCCCAGGTCAGGGTGGACCTGAGAACACCAGCAAATAAGAGGTGGTTCCATGCTCCTTAAAACGTTCAATCTCCCGATCAGAGGCCTTACTGATGGATGTAGTTTATCATTAAACTCAGTGTTCAGTTCAGTATATGTACTTGTAAATTAAACCTCCTCTCAGGATTTCTTTGCTTACAAGTTAAAAACTTCTCTTTTGTAAGGCAATGAACCGATTCCCATAAGAAATAAAGAACATTTTCATATAAAGCTGAACAAACTACACTGTAAAATTGAATAGAAAGTGATTATATATTAATTTTAACCTAAGTGAATCTTCACAAATACTTACTCTTCTCATTTAACTATTACAATAAACTGGTTGTTAATTAAGAAGCCATAGCATAACTGTGTTATAGACATGTGTATGGCAGCATGGAAGATCAAATAAAACAACAGTATTGCCAGTGAGGCAAAAAAAAAAAAAAAAGACAAAAATTGTAAATATAAATTCTTTTTGTATTTCTACAATTGTATTTTAGCTATACAAATTTTTACATCCTTTTTCAGTAGAATTTATTTCACTTCTTAGGTACCTACAAGATCCAACAGATTTTAACCTGAAACAGTCTGTATTGAGCCATGCCAGTTGATGCCTACGAATTCTCTGTTCTAGCCTATATTCCATTTGGATTTGACTATCCAATTAACAGTTCTGAGCCATTATCAATTACTCCACTCACGCATCCAAGCTGACAGCACCTGGTATTCCCAAGTAGTCACCTATTTAGGCACTGACCAGGCTCGACATTGCTTAACTTTGGTGATCATATGGTAACCGGTGTTTCAATGAAATGTAGCTGTGAGCGTTTTCATTCTGCAAATTTTATAAATTTTATTTTTTATTTATTTACTGAAAATTGTGGTCTAAAAGTCAATTTTTCAAGCTGATAAATTTTTTTTTGAAAACTAGGGTTGACTTATATGGCAGGTAAAAAATACAAACCTTTACCTCCAAGGTGTAAACAAGTGGGAGAATCTTCCTAACAATTAGTGTGCAGCACTTATACCTCCAGAAGGCTGCCACAAAGATATCTCTTTAAATCTTGTGTTTGGTGAAAATATTTGACATATTAACACAAAAGTTAATATAAAATAATAGTAACACAAATTTAGTATTCTGTTAAGACTACAGCACACATTGTGTCTAACTGTTGATACAATATCTGTCTATATTTCTGAGATGAGGTATTATGTACACTATTTACATTAGTCGGACTATTGTCCTCATCTTTGTCACCATATTTATTACAACGTTTCGGTTGTTGTATGCTCTGGCCTTCTACGGGTGGTTGAAATGTTGAACTGAACCCTTTATTTTGCTCAAGGACACATGGCACAGTGGATAAAGACATTAGTTAGATCCAGTGACAAGACCCAAAGAGTGTAAGTCCAATACCTGGTTAAGGCAGTGGAAAACATGGAGAGAGAATTAACAGGAGATAACTGATGACATCCATTAAACATGGCACATGGAACTAGATCAGTCTACCCCAGTGAGCGAAATAAAAGGTTCAGTTCGACATTTCAACCACCTGAAGAAGGCCAGAGCGTACAATGGCTGAAGCGTAATAAATATGGCGACAAAGATGAGGGCAATAGTCCGAATAATGTAAATAGTGCTGATACAATATGTAGTGGCATTACTGGTTTACATCATTGATGCAATGTATTACATTACAATATAGAGAGCATTTATTTTTCCCTCCAAAAAATTGAGCAAGGTAGTTGTTTAGAGTGAACAACACCATATATGATCTTTGTGAAAATATTCATATATTTCACAAAAATATGGCTTCTCACCAGTGTGTATTCACATATGCAGCCCCAAATCTGACTTCCATGAAATAGGAAATCTATGCATTTTATATGTCTCCTCAGTCTAAGTTTGCATATAAGTGGCTGAAACCCAAATTTATATGTAAAGTAAGAGCTACACACTTCACAAGAAGGTTTTCTCTCCAGAGTGTGTTCGCATATGGCGAATCAAATGTAACTTTCGTGTAAAAGAATAGTGACACACTTCACAAGAAAATGGCTTTTCTCCAGTGTGCGTTCGCATGTGTTCTTTCAAATGTATTTTCTGTGAAAAGGAAGATTCACACACCTCACAAGAATATGGTTTCTCTCCAGTATGTGTTTGCATATGGCGGATCAAATGTGAGTTATAGGTAAATGAAGAACCGCACACTTCACAAGAATATTGTTTCTCTCCAGTGTGTGTTCGCATATGCACCTCCAAATTTGTCTTTTGTGAAAAAGAAGATTCACACACTTCACAAGAATATAGTTTCTCGCCAGTGTGTGTTTGCATATGGCGGACAAAATGTGAATTATATGAAAAAGAAGATCCACACACTTCACAAGAATATTGTTTCTCACCAGTGTGTATTCGCATATGCACCCCCAAATTTGACTTCTGTGAAAAAGAAGATCCACAAACTTCACAAGAATATGGTTTCTCACCAGTGTGTGTACGCATATGGCGGCTCAAATCTGAATTAAATGCAAAGGAAGATCCACAGACTTCACATAAATATGGCCTCTCTCCAGTGTGTGTTTGCATATGTTCTTTTAAATGTGTCTTCTGTGAAAAGGAAGAGCCACATATTTCACAAGAATATGGTTTTTCTCCAGTGTGTGTTCGCATATGCTCTTTCAAATGAACCTTCTGTGAAAATGAAGAGCTACATACTTCACAAGAATACAGTCTCTCTCCAGTGTGTGATCGTATATGCACCACTAAATTTGATTTCTGTGAAAAGGATGATCCACATACCTCACAAGAGTATGGCTTCTCACCAGTATGTGTTCGCATATGTACTTTCAAATGTGCTTTCTGTGAAAAGGAAGAACTGCACCTTTCACAAGTATATGGTTTCTCCTTTGTATGAGTTTGCATATGAACTCCCAAATGTGCTCTCTGTAAAAAGGAAGATCCACAAACTTTACAAGAATATGGCTTCTCTCCAGTATGCTTTTGCATATGTTCTTTCCAATGGGCTTTCTGTGCAAAAGAAGATCCACACTCTTCACATGAATATTGCTTTTCTCCAGAGTGTGTTCGCATATGCACCCCCAAATTTGACTTCTGTGAAAAAGAAGATCCACAAACCTTACATGAATATGGCTTCTCACCAGTATGTGTTCGCACATGGCGGCTCAAATCTGAATTATATAAAAAGGAAGAGCCACACACTTCACAAGAATATGGCTTGTCTTCAGTCTGTGCTTGCATGTTCTTTTAAATGCGACTTGTGTAAAAAGGAATATGTAGACACATCTAATGAGTATTCTTTCTTTTCAATGTGTATTTGCTTATGCATTCCAAATGTGACGTCTGTGAAAAGTAAGATAAACACACTTCACAAGAATATGGATTCTTTTCAGTTTGTGAGTGCATATGGTAGATAGAATGTGATTTAAAAATGGGATCCATACAGTCCAAAAGTAGTTTTTCTCCAATGTGGAGCTTTAAATTTCTATTTAAAACTGAATGATCAGTTCACATCCACAGGTTTCAGAAGACTATATTATATGAACAGATTTTATATTTCATCTGTTTTACATCACCAAGAAAGTGATGATCCATTCAAATTCACCAAATTATTTTTAAGCTGAAAAATCTGTGAAAAGAAAAAAAAAATTAAATATTTTAAAAATTGAATTGAACAGACTATAAGTTAATTCAACAAAACTCACATAATATTTCAACAGACTCAGATACGACCTACATAAAAAAATATTTTCTTACATTATATACAACCAGATTTAATAAAACTTATTTATATCAGGGAGACAACATGAGATTTAAAAGTCTGTATCTATGAACACAAAAGAGATCTATGTTTAGACAACTATTCAAACTCTCATAATAGAAAAGAGCAAAACTAGTCATAACTTTGATGTTACTAATGCCACCCTAATTAAAAAAGAACATAATTCTTTAAGGAGAAAGTAATTCAAGAGCCTAATAATAATATTGCCAACTATAAACACACCTCAAAAATATTACATCACCAACCTTTATTGAATCCATTCTTAAAGAATCTAAAATGAATGGTATCTATGTAAAAACATTCCCAAATCTACATACGAAAAACCAACACACATCTGCTATACATAGGCACAGTTACGAATATACATAATCATCTGATTCCCACATAGACAAATTGGAATTTTTATACACTTACACACATATAGCAATATACACTATTTACATTATTCAGACTATTGTCCTCATCTTTGTTGCCATATTTATCACAATGTTTTTGCTGATGTACTCTCTGGCCTACTTCAGGTGGTTGGAATGTCGAACTGAACCTTTATTTCCTTAAGGACACATGGCACAGTGGATAAAAGCGTTGGTTAGATCCAGTGACTGGACCCAAAGTGTTGTGAGTTCAATACCTGGTTAAGGTAGTGGAGAACTTGGAGAGGGGAATTAACAGGAGATAACTGACATCCATTAGACATGGAACTAGAACAGTCTACTCAAGCAAGTGAAATAAAGGGTTCAGTTCAACATTCCAACCACCTGAAGAAGGCCAGAGTGTACATTGGCTGAAACATTGTGATATGGTGACAAAGACGAGGACAATAGTCCGAATAATGTAAATAGTATACATAATACTTCATCTCAGAAATATAGACAGATATAGCAATATATTTACAATTTTTTTTAGTTAGGCTAGGAATCCATTAATTTTTTGGAACTTCAAAGGGATGCAGTGTCTCCCTTTGAATTGGAATGCCACAAATTATACTAAAAATCAAATGAAGCATGATTGACCACTGAAAATGAAATAACATTAAATATATTAGAAATTCTTCTTTCTTCTTTTTCTCCATATCTCATTCTCTGATGAAGCTTTAGTAAAAGTGAAACATGTTAGATTGATAGTTTCCTATTTGTTATCTATCTTAGCATTCTGTCAGATTCCAATCCATATTTGATCACAACTCAAATTATTAATGCTAAATTTTTATAATTTCAGTTGAAATTAAGGAATTTATGAAGAGAGTAACTTAAGTAAATAACCCCCCATAAACCCATTTTATTTAATTTTATTTTAAGGGAAAGAAATATGCAAAATGGAAAAAGTTTTTGTGATGCGTTTCGTCCTTTTATGTTTACGTTGATGTGACCGCACATGCACGTGAATGAAAAAGAGATGCTGAGAATTTTAAATTTAAAAATATATATTTTAATTTTTTTTCTTTTTGTGTATGCTTCCACCACTTTTCTTATTAAATATCCCATATTGTGATAATGGAAGATCTACCAAGAATAGTTAAATGTAAGAACCTGGATGCAAATTTACAGTGAATGATTCTTTATATAAAAAAAAATTTATATATTGTTATTCCGTTTAATTTTATGAACTCTTAATAAAATGTCTCTTGAAACTGAAAAACATTTTGCATTTTCAAATAAGTAAATCTTAGAAGTTAAATTCTTTTTTAAAATACATCTGTTGTACAATGATTTAAAAATTTAAAACCAGCAAAATAAAGTATGAATTCCTTTCACGATATTTTTTTTAAAATATAATCTGACAAATTTTATTATGTAAGTAAATATTTTCCAAATAATATTAATTTTAACTAGGAAACTCCCCCCAAAAAATGATACCTAAGGTTTAAAATAAAGAATCTTTCCTGGAGCTTTTATTTCAGTTTTAATTTCAAGCTAATAGATTAAATTTAATATTTCTAATAAGCAAGATACTTTGCTGTATTTCAAACACTAATTTAAATTGACTGGAAGAAGTTTTTTCTTTTTCAAATTA